GCTTTCACTTTGTCCAAGGAGTGGTTGCAGCTGGATGTGTGAATTTTAATAAATTTGGCGACCCAATGGGGGAGTCATAATATAAAATAAATGTGAAGGTAGGAAAAGGGTGTGAGAACGTTTGTGATGGGTCCAGGATGAGTTACACTATATACGATTCATATACTGGTTTGGAAGATTAGGTGATTGCTTGGGAGGGAAGCTTCGGTGCAATGCAACTGGGTTGGGCCATGTGCGTAGCTTTAACACGTGTAAGGTAGAAGGTTTTTGCTTTAGGAATGCTCAGAAATCGTTTTCATATGGTGCTTTCTTTAATGGCTAAAAAATCAATGTCTAGTCTCTATCTTGGAACTCGTAAATGTGGGGGTGGCTGGTGCCTGCTTCTTAATACTTTTGAGGAAACGTAGCCATCTATTATGGAACATTGCTCTCACAAATGCATGGCCAACCCAACTCTACATTGTTAAGAAAGGGAAGGTGCTGGTGTGATGTGGTCATTGCATTTCCCATTGCAATTCTTGTAACACACATCGCAACATTAATACCATAACACCAAAACTTCCTTCCTTTGCTTCTTTTATTCGTCCCACCGAGTCTTCCTTTTTCCCTTTTTTCTTTATCCTCTTTTGGTGCATTCCATCTATGTTTTCTAGCCTCCCTTCAAATGCTCACTTCTATCTCCACTGTTTGCAAAATCTTTCCTCCCAAAAACTCTGCAACTTGCCTCCTTTATTCTACTCTTACATTTTTCTTCATTATAAAATTTGTTTTTACCGAAATTTGTACAAGAATCTTTTACGTTCGAATATAAGATTCTCAAAAACTAAATTCTTGTCTTAGATAAAAAATGTCAAATTTTTAAAAGAAATACATGAGAGATCCATCTGGAATATATTTTTTCATGTAAATGAAAATATGAATATAAGAGTTGAATGAGTACTTTCTATAATGAATATTATTATTATATATTAAAAATATTAAATAATAAATTATTATATGATAATATATTATTTCATAATAGTTTATAGAGTAATAGAATTTGATAATAAGTTGATATTTTGTAAGATATTATATGTAAAATATCTCAGAGATATCTTAGTTACCTTCCAAACTAATTTAAAAAGTTACTTAATCATCTGTGAGATAAAAAGCGAAGATATATATATGAACATGGAAATTTAGTATAATGAACTGAAAGCGAAATAGCCAATTGAATAAAACTTGAAAGTACATGGTGTGGTGAGATGAAAACATAAGAAAAGAACTAATCACTGAAAGACAAAATTTCACATCAGTCGAAAAACTGAGTAAAAGATTAACATTACAAAAAATGGGTGGCAAAAAGACAATAGCAAAAATAATAAATAATAAATTTATATTTTTGTTAAAGTCAAGGATGTATGTAACATATATTAAAATGCACATGGGTCCGTGACCGAAGAGAAGTAGGCCATCCTATTTGTTTATAAAAAGTATAGAGCTTCTCCATCTTGTAAAATTATGTTATAGGTTATATGGAATAAACTTTTGTGTAAACTATAAAATGTGAGAAAGAACAATTCTATCTTACATATCAAAGCCATTAATAGCACCACTTGAGCATTCCAGAATATTCTTAATAACTAAGAATTTAGATATTCAGTTCAACTTTCTTTTTTGTTAGCCTTAAAAGAAATTTTAAAATGAAAGCTTAAAAAGAGATTTATATTGTCAGACCTCGTTAAACGCACCCAAAATTCTCAGAATCATTAAAACGCATCCAAAACTCCTCTGAACAGACGCCAGGTGTCAAGCAACGAGGATTAGAAATCAGATAGTGGGATGCAGGTGTCAGCAGAAGAGCGGACGCTCGTTTTGACGTGGGAAGAAAATGATTTTCTGAAACTTCCGTCCCACTCTCTTCTGCATGCACCCTTTTTTCTAGACTCTGAACTTCTCCATTTCTCCTCCTTCTCTCTAAAAGTTCTTCATTCTCTTTACCAAAACTCACCAATTCTTTACTCCGATCTCCGTTCAGGCACCGTCCGGCGTCCTAAGCTTCATTCTGAACCTAACAGTTTCGAGTTCTGATCTGGTAAGTCTTTTTCTCCTTTAGTCGTTCGTTCCCTAGCACATGCAAACCAACTCCTGGTTGCATGAGTTCATAGTATCTTTCTGAATTAGTTTGTCTGTCGTTTGTTTTGGTTTGAAGAGTTGATTGAACGTCGAGGGTAGAAGAATTTTAGTCAGACAAACCGCATCCTGTATCTTGTACGCTCGTTCACACTAGAGGTAAGGGAAGCTTATTAATTTAATTTGTATGATTGGGTGTTGCATGAACGTTCGTTGAATTGATTTAATATGAAAAATGTATGTGATATGTTATGAGGCATGAAATATATGAAATTTCTATGTTTGGATGGTATGAAGTATGAAAGTTGATTCTGATATGAATGTCTAAAGTTGCGAAACTATATGTTAAGAAATGAGTTGGAATATAAATGATCCTGGTATGAAATTCCCCTAAGAAAGTGTACGTACATTACTAAACGGTCTTTGACCGTTCGGTTTTCTAATGAATTTGGTTAGTAATGGATTCTTTCATTTGGGAAGAATCCTAGCTGATGTCGAGCGTCTACCCTTTGAAATACTGTGCTTGAGCGTTCGGCCAAGCATAATTCTGTCTTGATATCCTGTTATAAGCTTAGTATGTGTATATATATATATATATATATATATATGTATATATATATATATATATATATATATAAGATTGTATATCTTGGCTATTCTTAAATACTACTTCCATAGTAACTTAGCATAATTATCAAACCTCTTTTCTATAAGATTAGTAGCTCCTGGTCTTATACCAAGTGTTCGTCCTAAGCCAGTGTTTGGTCTTGCACCAGGCACTCGTTCTATCTTCTTAAACAAAATTTTATAATACTAGCGTTCGTTCAAACCACTAAGGTTCGCTCCCTATAGTGTTCAGTCTTTAACTAACATTCGTATTTCTTAATATTAAATCTAAATTATTTAAGTCCTCATAAACGCTCGGTTTATTCATGGGAATTCCTCTGCGTATTATTCTTTGAATCTCTTGGAGTGTCTGTGTCTATTGGCTTCGGCCTAGAGCTTTAGTGCTGAGTATGGTTTTCTTTTTAGATGCTCGGTTAAAGTTCTTAAGAGTCAATTCATCTAATTGACTCATTTTGCAAGTTACGTTCGTTCTATTCATTGGTAGTGATATTAGATTGTACTTCGTTTCTTTCTCAAACCGATAGTAAACCTCTTGGTCTAAATTCATTATGGAATTGAAGGCCCTCGGTCTCGCTCCAAATTGTCAGTCTCATTTTGAGTCAGGGTTGAACGTTCGGTAAATGGTCTCCGAACGAGTCTTGGTGTGAAATGGTTAAGTAAGATGATTATTAAAGAAAAATGAAGATAATGAGATATGGAAAGGTTGTGGTTTTTGGACGAGCGTTCTGGGGAGGAACGACTCATGCTTGAATATTGAAATTGGTAAAGTATGACTGTGGGCATGCTAAGCTGGCTGTTCATCCTGATGTTCCGTGGGTACTCGTCTTCACGTAGAGGAGGGTAGGTCATGTGTGGGAACGACAGGAGGTCCTAGTCCTTAGGGGTACTTTGGACAGATAGGGCTAACCTCGGGTGGCAACTGTTGAGTGCATCCCAGTTACTACATCACCCGGGTGCACGAACGCCTGTAGCTACACAAATTTCATACAGTCCGGACAGTCAGTCTAGTGATAGGCTTTGTATGATTCATATGATGAAATTTATCTGGTGTGTTGGATTGTTTGAAATGTATGTGTACGTATGAATTAAATTACATAAGCTTACCCTGTGTTTTTCTTGTGTTGTCTCGTCTTGTACGTTCGTCTTGTTGTTGCAATGATCATCCGTGTGGATGTAAGCAGAAGGGGACGCGCTGTTGGAAGATACGCTGGAAGAAGAAAATTTGGTAGAAGTAGAAGTAAAGACGGAACAATAGGACGTTCGGTCAGGAGTTTAGTTTTCATAGTAAGGTGGTCGTTCGATCACCTTCCCTTTTGTTTATATTTGACCGTTCGGTAGTTCCTTTTGTAAACCGTTCGGTCAGACTTGTACTGCTGTATAGTTTAAAATGGTAACTCTTTCCGTAAGGCCGTTCGGCCATGCGCGTACGTTCTCTTAGTGTAAGACTGAACTGAAATATTATTAATTATAATTATTCTATTATATAATATATTGCTGTATTTTTGGGATGTTACGTATATAAATAAATACCAATATTTCATAATATTTACAATTAGAAGAAGAACAACTAATGTGCAGGTTAGTTTATTCTTAAATATTTATGTTTTATGAGTTATTTTTACTTTTTTTTTTCTCGAAAATAAACTCTAATTTTAGGATATAAATCCAGAATAATGTATTAAAATTAATAAGGTATTCATCATTCTATATATTTGACTTAATTAAAAGATTGCACAAGCCAATAATATTATCAAATTTTGGTATATGAAGTCAGGTTTCGATAAAAAAATTTCTGACAGTAGAAAAAGTTATAAAAATCTGCTTTGTAGACATCATGAATGAAATTTAACGCCACAATCCTTAAAAACACTCCTAACAAATAGATTTTAAAGAGCTTTTTTTATTTATAATATATTAATTTTTTCAGAAGGAATAAATTAATATATTTAACATTTAAGTAAAATAATAAAAGAAAGTTTATAAGTGATTATTGAAAAAGTAATACTACAATATTTCAAATTAAGTTCAAATTTTTAGATTTAGAAATATATCAGGAAACAATAACTCCTATTAAGAGTGTTATGAGAAAAGAAAGGATAGGAATTGTATTTCTTATTCCATGAGAAGAGAGTACAATTTTTACATATATATAATTGTTTGAAACAATATATAAACGGAATATAAATATAAAAATAGAATATAAATATATGAAGATAAATGCACAGATATGAACGGAAAATAAATTAAATCCAATATCCCCCTCAAGCTGCAGCATATATATCCTTAATGCTCAGCTTGGACAACAAAGATTGAAATTGTGCTGGATGCAAAGCTTTAGTATGAATGTCTGCAAGTTGTGCTGAAGTAGGAATGGACAGGAGCTTAATTACACCAGCTTGAACTTTATCTCTTATGAGATGACAATCAATTTCAATATGCTTTGTTCTTTCATGCATGGCTGGATTTTGTGCAATTTGTATAGCAGATTGATTGTCACAAAACAGAGAAACTGGTTGTGGTAGAGGTTGTTTCAAATCATGGAGCAAATACAGAAGCCATTGAATTTCACATGTTGTGGAAGCTAAAGCTCTATATTCTGCTTCGGTGGATGATCTAGATATAGTACCTTGCTTCTTGGATTTCCAGCTAATTAATGATGCACCATAGAACACATTAAAACCAGTCACAGACCTTCTAGTGTCAGGGCAAGCAGCCCAATCAGAATCACTAAAAGCCTTGAGAGCATGTTCTGTGTTGGAGGGAAAGAATAATCCTTGTCCTGGATTGTTCTTGATATATCTCAGGATTCTTATTGCTGCTGCATAGTGATCTTCCAAAGGATTGGAAAGAAATTGACTGAGAGTACTAACAGCGAAACATAAATCTGGTCTTGTGTTGGTTAGATATAGTAACCTGCCAAGAAGTCTTCTATAGGCCTGCACATCTGAATAGGGTTTCCCTTCTGTCTTGGAAAATTTTGTGCCTGGCTGTATAGGAGTAGAAACAGGTTGACACCCCAACAATCCTGCATCTTCTAGTAACTCTAGAGCATACTTCCTTTGTGACAAATTAATGCCCTGTTGAGATCTTGCAATTTCTAAGCCCAGAAAATACTTGAGTTGGCCTAAGTCTTTAATCTTGAACTTTGCATTCAATAGAGCCTTCACAGTTTGGATTTCCTGGATGTCATCACCTGCCAAAACTATATCATCTACATAAACAAGTAAGATGGTAATATGAGCAGAATCACTTTTGACAAAAAGTGAATAATCTGATTTTGATTGTGTGTAGCCCAAAGAAAGTAAAGTAGTTGTCAACTTGTAATTCCATTGTCTAGAGGCTTGTTTGAGTCCATATAAAGACTTCAACAACTTGCAAACTTGTCCTGGTTTTTCAGATTTATAACCAAGAGGAAGAGACATGTATACTTCTTCATCTAGATCCCCATGTAAAAAGGCATTAGTTACATCTAGTTGATGTAAATACCAATGTTTGGAAGCTGCTAAAGCTAGAACCAATCTTACTGTTGTGAGTTTGACAACAGGTGAAAAAGTCTCAAAGTAATCTAAACCTTGTTGTTGTGTGTAGCCTTTGGCTACAAGCCTTGCCTTGTATCGTTCAATACTCCCATCAGCATGCCTCTTTATTTTGTATACCCATTTACATCCGATAGGTTGCTTTCCATTAGGTAGATCAGTCAAAACCCAAGTTTTGGTATTTTCTAAAGCTGCAATTTCTTGATCCATGGCATTTCTCCAACAATCATGTTTGATGGCTTGGTTATAGGTTTTAGGTTCACTAACTTGGGAAAGATTAAGGACATATGATTTATGAAGAGATGATAATGCATCATATGATAGATATGAAGAGATAGGATATAAGGTACCTGTGGATGACTGAGTGGCGGAAGAAGTAGATGACATGTTGCAATGATAGTCCTGCAGATAAGATGGTGTATGTTTTGGCCTAATTGATTTCCTTTGTGGAGTAGCAGTGACAGGTTCAACAGAAACAGGCTGAGAAGAGAAAATAACAGGGTCGGAAACAATAGAAGGAGGAGATGTAAGTGGTAAAGAGGGTTGATCAGTAACTTCTGAGAAAAGAGGTGATGGAGGTGAAATAATTTTGGTGACAAAATCCAAGGAATTTTGTGTATTAATAGGTGAGTGCTTGTCACTAGTAAGAAAAGGAAATATATTTTCATAAAATACTACATTCCTTGATAGAAAAATTTCCCTAGAATTGAAATCTAACAAAAGGTAGCCTTTCACTCCTGTTTTAAAACCCAGTAAAACACATTTTCTTGCACGAGGTTGAAATTTTGTTCTATGAGTTTGAAGAGTTGAAGCATAGCAAAGTGAGCCAAAAACTCGTAAGTAAGTAATGTCAGGTTTAACATTGTGTAACAGCTGAGATGGAGAAAAATATGTCAAAACTTTGGAAGGTAAAATATTAATGAGTTGCACAGCATAACGAACAGCAAAAGACCAGAAAATTATGGGCAAATGGGATTGAAACATTAAAGATCTAGCAACATTGAGAATGTGTTGATGTTTTCTCTCAACGACTCCATTTTGTTGAGGTGTTTCAACACATGATAATTGATGTTGTATCCCTTTTTGTCTATAAAAATCTGTCATTGCAAACTCATTACCATTATCTGATCTAACAGCTTTTACATCAATGCCAAATTGTGTTTTTATATAAGAAACAAAGCCAATAAGTTGTGATCTTGTATCTGATTTACTTGTCATTAATTTAATCCATGTGTATCTAGACATATCATCCACTATAGTTAAGAAATATTTGAAACCATCAACAGAAGAAGTACTATAGGGCCCCCAAATATCAACATGAATTAAATCAAAAGGAGCTTTTGAAACAGTAGTACTTAATTGAAAAGGTAATTTTCTTTGCTTAGAATAATGACAAGCATCACAATGCGTGTATTTTGTATTGGGTAAAGTGGCATACATGTTGCGTAATTTGGTATAACAAGAAAAAGAAGGATGCCCTAGTCTATAGTGCCAAATATCTATAGAGTTATGTCTTATTGTAGAACAAGCAATAGAATTCTCAGAAGTAATAGCAGCTGGTGAACCAAGGGGTGTGGGTGCAGGAACTATCATGACATACAAGCCATCTCTTTCTTCAGCTTTGCCAATCATCTGCAGGGTTGACTTGTCCTGTATTTCACAGGAAAATTCAGAAATGTTAAGTTTACAAGATAGAGATTTAGTTAACTTTGTGACCGAAATAAGATTGACAGAAAAATTAGGAATAAACAAGACATTATGTAAAGTAAGGTGTGGGCTAAGTGAAACAGTGCCAGAAAAATGAGCAAATGAAGAGTTCTTGTTGGGTAGTGATACTGTAATTGGTGAGATTCTATGATAAGAAATAAAATGAGACAAAGAATTAGATATATGATCAGTAGCACCTGTGTCTAGAATCCATTTGGAATAGATATTACCTTGAGCCTGGGAAGAAGTGGAAGCATTATGAGAGCTCACTAGATTAGTAGAATGTGGGATTGTGGGATTAGATTGAGGAAGAAGTGCCAATAAACCATGAATTTGCTCTTGAGAAAGTCCCAAAATTGCGGAATGTGACTGTGCCGGAGAATTATTATAAGAAGGAACTACTGTAGAAGAATCTGTTGTAACATTGTGGACTCTTTTGGATTTGAGATCAGGTGGTAATCCATGTATTAGAAAGCAAGTATCAATGGTGTGGTTTGTCCTGCCACAGTGAGTGCATTGTCGAGGTGCACCAAACCTTCCCCCTGAGGAACGAGCCTGAGAACCTTGATAACGAGCCTGAGAACCTTGATATGAAGATCTTCCCCGGCCATAATCATTGGCAGGAGAGGGTTTACCTCTGCCATTGAAGGTAGAAAAAGAAGGTTTAGATTGAGAAACTTGTGACGCCATGACTGGAGGTTGAGAAAGAATTCCGGATTGTAATTGTCGCTCATGTTGAATTATCATCGAAAAAATTTTGGGTAAAGAAGGCAAGGGATCCATGAGAAGGATCTGAGAGCGAACAACAGAGTAATTATCATTCAAGCCTCTAAGAAAACAAAGAACACAATCATTTTCACGATATTCCTTCATTGTCTTAGAAACAACACAACAAGAAGCAGAAGATTGGCATTCAGGAATAGGGCGAAAATTGCAAAGTTCATCCCAGAGAATCTTCATTTTAGTGTAATATGCAGTAACACTTAGATCAGACTGATGCATTGAATAAAGATCTTGATGCAATTGTGAAATTCGAACAGAATCACCTTGGGAGAAACGATCTTTGAGATCCTTCCATGCCGTAGCAGCAGAGTCAATCCAAATAATACTTGTAGCAATCTCATGAGAAACAGAATGATTGATCCAAGATAAAACTAGATTATTGCAACGCTTCCATGCTTGAACCATTGGATCTGTACCAGCTGGACAAGGAATGGAACCATCAACAAAGCCAAATTTATTCTTCATTTGTAGTGCCATAGACATCGAGCGAGCCCATCCATGATAATTGTGACCTTCAAGAATCGGGGAAACAAGCACCAATGAAGGATTCTCATTAGGATGAATGTAATAGTCATGTGTTGTATCTTGCAACGATGCGAGAGTAACAGAGGGAGTAGCCATAAAAGGAGAAGAAAAAGGCAGAAAAGCCAAGAACGAAAGGTAGAAAATGAAGATCTGGACAGGAAAAGAATTGGTTGCGGAAGAACGTGATAAAAAATTAATTTTCTTCTGATACCATGTTATGAGAAAAGAAAGGATAGGAATTGTATTTCTTAT